CTCAAGAAGAAAAAAAGAAAATATATATTTATGGATAGGTAAAATCTTAGTAAACAGCAAAATACTGAAATACGTGTCAAATAATTTCATCTCTAATATCTGTAATAAAAATTCAGACAATTCTATAAACTAATTAAATGTCAAGGTCTGGTCGTTGTGCGGTTTGTAAAAAAATGACCAATATTTAAGAAATGTAGAAAGGTTGTCCAAAAGACAACATTATAACAACTGTAGAAATAAAATTCGAAATCAATATGTAATAACAGACCACCTTAAAATAAGTAATCCAAATATTGTGCGAGACGAAAGCCTCAAAAAGACGCTTTGCAGAATCCTGTTTCATACAAATGTACAAAAATAGTATTGAAATGAATTTCAATTGTTGAATGAATTGAATTGTTATTCAATAGAGTACTTTATATTTATGTTAAAAATTTAGAGCATATTTTAATATAAATATATAAAAAAATCATTACGTTCAATAGAGCATATAAATTTAAAGAAACATATGTACACAATTGTATTTAAATAAAACAATTAAAACCATATATTTTTTAATTTTTTACTACCCCATATGTACCATTAGCGAATAAAATTAAACTTAACCGCCAGCTCCATTCAACAATACAACATGTCGTAACTTTTATGATCGCCCAACATACTCGGAAGTAAGTTATTATATTTCATACATAAACAAGGCAATTAAAGGCATTGTTAGGGTCTTATGGTGCTTACTTTCATCTATAAAAGGTACGGCCCAGTTCTGCACATAATGGAATATATTTACATACGGTGGATTGTAATGGAAAGGTCCTTGATTAATAGATCTCGTGTGTCATGGCTCATACGTCTTCGTGTAATAAATTATATTATTCATGCATAGGTTTTACATGGAGCACCCCGTAAAGCACTTTGGGATAATATATATATATATATATATATATATATGTGTGTGTGTGTGTGTGTGTATATTCACACATATTGCCACAAGTATATTATAACTCATGATTTTCCTTATCATTCTACGACGTCTGTTAATGACTTCATGAACTTATGTTAATTCCATAACCATTTGCCATTGCGTTTAATACTTGTCAGCTGGTAATAACTAAGGAAACACATATAACATTTATATCATATATGATATATCTTTATTTCAGAATTTAATTTCAAGCCATAAAATGCATTGTGGCCAGTTTTCAGAGGTATAAAATATAGACATATCTGAAGAAGTTTGTAGACTCGCTAGAAAATCCAATTTATAAACTTTATTTTTCCAGGTTTTAAATCATTTTTGAAAGTCACAAAATAATTTAAAAAAAAATACTAGAGGCGCCCAAGTATGTTCCAAATTGAATGATCCATCAGCACTCCAATACGTTCATGGTATCAGAAGAAATCAGAAGACATGCATCTAACGACAAATTAAACACTAATATCATCCAAAACAACCTGCCAAAGACTTGCTTTCATTAAAACTATCCTAAAAACTCAACAACCCTTCATTAGATGTGTATATATTGTCCTATCTCTAAAAATGCTTTATCGACATACAGAAAGTTAAGCACTATGTGTACTTTATAACAAAATAAATTGCGCAAATTTTGATCATTTTTTCGAAACGTATGATAGCTTCTAAAGTAATTAAAATGTTTTGAATGCATGTTCTGCTGCAGAACAGAGTACACGGCAATTAAAACTAGCATCGTGACTGTCGCATAAAATTGCTGTGCAAACGCTGGGAAGCTGCTGCACATTTATTATAAAAAGAACTAATATAAAATATATATGATATTTATAACATATTTATAATAATATAGTCACCTAATTACTTAATTTTAAGCCAATTCCGCGGTAACGCAGCTGATAACATAGCGTTGCCAACGCTCGTTTCTTGGTTCTAATTTACTTGTAATTAGTGATTACCAGCGTTCTTCATATTCAATTATCAATTATTAGTTTCAATTAATATCTCAGCAACACCTTCTAAAATCTAAAGTTTTCCTCCTTAGGTACAACTTTTCATTAAGTTAAGTATTTTTCGCAATTCTCGAATTGACTGGTAGAAAACATTAGGAAATCGACCCGAATTCTCGAGGCGTCAAGAGATGTTCAGACGCTCAGTTTCGTCTCGTTAGCACCAGCCCGGTAATTAGAGTATTACAAATTTAAATTACATTTTCATGCATCGATGAGCTTAACGTTCACTTCTCACCCCATGGAAAAGCTCGAGAGAAAACTTTGGACTCGTTGCAACTATGGATGGCTTTTTGAGGAACTGGGAAATATATAAAGCAGAGTCAGAAAACATTTTTTGAAATTCGAGTTTTTTCAGAACTTCCAAGCTTTATATTTATTTTTTACCACTTACTTAAAGACAAAATTAGGTATGCCTGATCTAGCAATAAAAAGTTTTTTGTTGGTTTGAATTGAAGGTATTCTCAAGAAGTGTGTCAAAAATTTGAGCTTAATATTGGCAACATTTACATTATAAATCGTCCGAGTTTCGTCAAAAGCTTTATCTGATGTAAATGATCATAGTGAATATAGTTAAAAATAATTTATATACTTTTATAATCTATTAAAAAAATCGTTTTATATATGCAAGTTCTCCCTTTAACTAAAAAACGAGCACAAATTAATAGTTAACTACTGCTTCAGTGGAGACAAAAAAAAAGGTTTTAGTTGATATACGTGTAATTATAGAACCCAACATACATATATAAAAGCAAAATATCTAATTCTCGCATAAGTTAACGTATTTTCTTTGCAATGTAAAAATATTATGTTAAAAAAAACATTGAAAAAAATCTGAATAAGTCTAAAATTTAGATATAAAAATATTACATATTATTTCAGGCTAGGTTGACAACTACTGCCACTATGCTAAGATGAGCGAGTGCTCTATCTAGATTGAAAACTTATCAGTCAATTAATAATTTCAATTACTATGAAGATGATTTGAGCTGCTCTTATATGTAATAAAGTTCTTTTTGAATAAAGTTTCTGTTAATTTTTTTAGAAATAATCTTCTTGTATAAAACTCGGTGCAAATTAATGGTAGAGTAGTAATTTCAAGCAATCATAAATTATATAATAACCAAAACATTTTTTAAGGAATTATCATGAATAATCATGTTTGCAGAATCATTAATGCTATTTGATTGTTAATGAATGTATCTCAAAATTGTTATAGTAGAGAATGAATTCATTTGACGTACCACCACAAATCCAGAGCCAAAACATATTTACCGTAAATAAATTGGATAAATTACCCCCAACCCATCCAAAAATTCATTCTCAGTGATACGTTGATATCCTCTTGGCAGTAATTGAATATCTCAGGAAATGAATGCCAAAAGCAGGAGGCATCTCACGCAGTTCGTCCCTTATTACAACGTTGCTTACCAATCAAAATTGTAACCAGATATTATTTTCTCCATCACAGGCCATCGAGTTTCAGAAATCTTAAAAGGAAAGCCCAAAGCACGACTCTGTGTGATATCCAGATGATAGACAATGTCAACTAATTATTTTGATGCTGACACAAATTTTAATTGGGAGAAGTTTCAAACGAATAATTATTTTGAAATTAGTAAGATAATTATATTTTGTATAACCATACTTAAACTCTAGAATAAATAAGTTAATAATCAAGGTTGTTACCAGATATTATTTTCACCAATATCGGATATCGAGTTTGGAAAATCTCAAAAAGCCCTGAATACTAAGGAAGTTATAAATGTAAAAGTATTGCAAGTTGTAATAAATGTTTCAAATTAAAATAATTTAAATCAGTGCTAAATAGCATCATCCTGACAAACATTCAGTTAATAGAGAGATCCTATTAAATGTGCAGATGTAATAAATATGTTATCCTTAACTTTATTCAAGTGATTCAACTTCAAATAATTTAAATCCTTGCTAGTGAATTACATCATCCTTTCCGGCATAAATTCCAAATTTTACTGCTGTTTCCTACCGCCAATTGCTTGTATCCGGGGCCCACAGATCGTACAAATCTCCGACATTCTTCCGAATCATTGTCGAGAAGAGGGTTAACGGCTCCAAACATCAAAACATCCATTCGTAACCTTTCGTAACCCGTTGACCTGAAACGTCCCCCGGGGGAAACATTGTGTCCATTTCAGGGAACGCAGATAATTCGAATCCGGTCAACTTGACGACGCAGTTTTAATTGGATTTTGATGAAATCCGTGTATTAATTGCGGCAGGACGATAGGAAGAAGAGCAGAGTGGTGATTTGCACCAGTAACGAAGAGGTGCGAAGGATCAGGACAAGGTGTGCAAAATTATTTTTCCCAAATTTACTCATACTTATAATATATTTAATTAGAATCTCTAAAAATTAGCAAGTCTAACCCGTTTTTTGGATACTCAAGACAAAGGCCGTCGATAAAGAAAATATATTGTGAAAGTGGTCCTTCAATATTCATATGGGTTATCAATATTTTCGTCAAGAGTTTAATCATCCAGGATGAAGATTTCCAAAGACACGTCACCTCCAACTTGAATGTAAGTATAAGGTGAAAGCTTTACTCAGTATCGAAATGAGTTATTTTTTAACTGTAATTATTTCTGATTTTTTATGTATAATTTTGAGTCAAAATAAAGGGAAGGGTATGAAGTATCAGAACAAGGTACGATGTCTTTGAAAAAAAACCCTTTGGTAACTCCTTTTTGTTTTAATATAAGAATATGTTTAGTTATCCTCCTACCTATTATTTGGATACTTTGCTCAAAGACAGGTCAACTCTAACACAAATCATATAGAATATTTTTTAAGCATTCCTCTTAGTATTCAAAACATTGTAGTTATTTTTAGTTGTAAATATATCGGTGATGTATATTTTCAAGTCGAAGAAACGAGTAAGTACAAGGAATCAGAATAAGCAGTGATTAATTACGGGAGGATACTTTTGGTTACTCCTACTTATTATAAGAGATGCTCAAAGTTAGTAGTATACAAAAAAACTCACCAAGAAACTAGGTACTCCTACCAGGATCTCTGCTTGAAGACTGGTCAACTCCAACTGAAATCAAAAAAATGTAACATAAGATATTTACATTCTTGTATATTTTAATAAATTTAGTATCACATGTTGAGGCTAGTAAAGTGTACAGTGATGATTATAAATTTGGTTTGTATTGTCATGTACATAGTTCTAATTTTTGTAATAAGTATCTGTCATTTACTATATAAAATATAGCATGTTCCTTCATATTATTCTAGTGAAACAAGTTAGGTTTGTTCGATGTTTCGTTGTTAATTTCTCCTCTCGTGTAGGTACATCATATTCCAAAATTCATTCGGCCGAATTGGATCACGCGATAGGCATTGTGCGAGGCGCACATCCGCGGGCATATATCAAAGTCTTTGTTGTTTTAATAACTTTTCTCGCTGAAACTCGAGTATAAATCATGCAGATGTTATAAAAAATATAACAGTAGAGGCAACAAGAGGCAAAAATGTTATTGCAAATTTCATGTACATTTTTAACGTTGTTAGAAATTGTATAATGCCGAACTTGATTGAAAATATTGGACCAAGTTGAAACGAATTAAATCAACAACATCTACCCTATTTAGACTATTTTTATATATATTTATTTTTAATAAATACTCTTCTACATAAGTAATTAAAACTTATAGTTGATAGCAATTCAACAAAGCCAACGAATGTCCTTTTTCCTCTGAACTTTCCAAGTAAGAAATAGAGTTTTTCTAAAAATATTCCCTTGGTTATTAACTCTGTCGTTCCTTTCCAGACTATATAAAGTCGAACTTTGTTTTACGTTTGTCCCACAGGATGACGCTTCGCTTCGCTTCCGTTGCACTGGAGGCGACCATAACTGAGGAGAATGAAGAAAAGTCTTCGTCCTCCTTCCGGCAAGGACATAACATCCTGCGCGCTAAATGGGAAGACGGGACTTAAGAGTGCATTTCCGCTTATCTACCATAAGATCGCGTGCTATAAAGCAAAAGAATATCCTTCTTAGACAGAAATATCATACTCGTAAAAGTGAAAAACGTATAAAGAAAATGATGAAAATTTCTAATATCATGTAGATGTTTGTGTTTTAGAGATATGAGTGGAGTGACATTGGTTTATTATGTCTAGTACTCGGTAATATGAACTATATAGTTCGTATGAACTTTCAAACGTAATTTCAGTTTTTTATTATGATATACACCTATCATCGAATTAAATTACCATTTAACTCACTTTTCCCGAAGCTAACTGGTAAATTAACAAAATTATTGCTGACCAAGAAAAAAGTGGCACAATCGTACCCAGTTTTCAGCATGTTTTTATATCAGACAGCATGTTTTTGTATTTGTGACAATGGCTGAGTATGAATACCCAAGTATACACAGATCTTGAAAAAATGTATGGTTGAGTAAGATTTCATTTCAAACTTGGTTCTTCTTCACTTTGTTCTAGGACAATACGTTCTTGTGGTAAGACATGTTATACCTCGCATATTTATCAATTTGTTATCTTAAAATAGACGATCTATTCGCGTCTCGTTACACCTATGACCTTTTCATAGTCGTCTATCGTGCCTGTATACAGTTTCCTATCCCGAGTTACAATGTAACGTAGCTCGATTTACTGCAACACTCAATATATTCTCGTAGCGTGGTGCTTAATCGTTCCGAATGTTTCGAATCATTGATCTGTGGATACCGACGGCTACGTTGTTAGACAGAGGGCAGAGGAGAAAATTTAAAAAATAAATAAAAATATAATAAATGCAGACAGAAACATGTGGGGAATCAAGCAAGCTGGGAATCGGACGGAAAAAATCACTCGTCATTTCATATTACAAAATTTTATAATCAATATATATATATTTATATTCATAATTATTTTCCATACTGGTGACCTACGACGTTTGTGATGAAGACAGAGAAGGAGCATGAATCGGGAATTAATAAAATGTAGACTTTGATGATTTGAAGGTACGTCCAGTCCTCAGGTCATCGCGAGTTAACCCATTTAATCTACTGACACCGGACTTCCGTTGGTATACCCAATGAAGTAAAGTCCGGTTTATGAATAATTATTACAAAATAATAAGTGGTTTAGATAAATCACAAAATAACTATTCACTTCTATGGGTAGTGAGATATTCAATTATAACTACAATTACAACTTGAACAAGCAATTCTTTTCCTAATGAACTTTGAGTTAAACATGCATTAGCCCCCATTTTACGAATATATCCTCAGAAATATCGTAGACAGAGCTTTTGCTTATGTGTGCAGATATACCGTCTTTGTTTGGCATCCGGCGAATCTCCACTTACACATCCTGTGCGAGCTCTTTGCCCGACGTAAGAACCTTTCAACGGCGATTGCTCGTTTCCGGATATATATACACTTGCTCGAAGATATTCTTTCTACATGCTGATATCTTTTCTAAAGTACGACCGAAACATGAGGTGAAAACAAACTCACTCGAACGCGTATCTAGTTTGCATCGTAAAAGATATCTTCGAAACATATTCTAATATAATTATAAATAGGTACAGCTGAAGCTTTGTAGTACTTCTGTCTAACAATATCAACACTTCAATTAAAATTGAGCAATATATGATTATTATATTTCAGAAAAACGAGAGAAATAAATCATTTGCATCAAACAGTGACAGTTTTTAAATATATTATGTACTTTGAGATAGCTATAACTAGGTACATTTATACCTTTATAGTACTATTCATACCCATGATTTAATTAAGTATTAGTATAAAATCAGTATCTAAATTGTTTCCTTTATAATTACTAAAGATAGGAATCATTTCAGCTCGAATATAAAGCGTTTAATATGCCATCCTATCACTAATCCGGTGGAGACGCCAGGTAGAGATAAAATTGGATGCGCGTAGACATTCAAAAGTTTAACATCATGAATGCAATTTACATATAGTCATGTGAGCACACTAAACTTTAAGTGCTTATAAAATTATATTACTAGAATGAACGTTTTAATTTTAAATTAGTTTGATAATTTAATTTTAGATTAGCTTTTACGATAAACTTTAAAAAATGTCATATATAGATTGTGAGAGGGTTAAAATATAAATCTGTACTTCATAAGAATCATAAAGCAAAATGATGTTTTAAAACTTGGATTTAAGATATAAAGGTAAATTAGATGTACTGTGGAAACTACTCTTGAGATTTCGAAAATTAGTATAACTATACAAAATTAGTTCAAAAAATTGTTTCAACTAACAAGCAAATTTCACATGTTGAAATTATATCAAAAATATTATTTTTTCCATTAGTACCATTTCTCAGTTTCCGTTATGTTTTACTGCAATTAAATACAGGTTAAAATTCTCAGCTTTCCTGTAAAAGAAACAAAAACTTTCAACACTTTTTAGCAGAGGCAGTTTGATGTGCCTGAAAGATAGTCAGTTCGTTGAAAACCGAGCAAGGAAGTGGCGGTGGTCGTAAAACGAGTCATTAGTTTTTATTACTGGCGGTCTCTTCTTCAGACATTTCCAGAATTTGCCAACATTTACAATTTTAATAAATTTTTAATCTAAAATAAATATCTATTACCAAAGAATATTATACTCACAAAATCATAAATAGATAAATTCTAGTTATTCAGCTTTTCAGCATCTTATTGTAAGTACTTCTTGCTTTAGAATTAGATAGAAATTTAAATCACGCTAAGTTATGTGTAGGTTAGAAGAGATATTTCATATTTCAACTACAACAGCAAATATATTATTCATAAATTAATTTCTATAATTGAAAACCATTTTATAAATAAAACTAAATGGTAAATAATTTGTAATTTGATAAAAAATAAATAACACAAAACTTATGTTCTGCTTAGTGTAGCAAAATTTTAATTATTAGTAGAATTCTCTCAACTCTTGAAAAGAAAGAAATAAAAGATATTCAGAATTTCATTTTTAGCATGCAATTTCAAGCGCATATCTATTTGCTCTGAGTATTACTTTTTATGGTAAATTTCAATCTATTCTGCGCGTAGATTAAAATTCTTAGGTTTCCTACCCCTAGGCTAGAATTTCCCTAGAAAGGGCGTGCCAGCTCGAGATTACTAGGCAAAGATACTAATGTCAAACACAGCTAAGATGCCCGCACCGAGAGACATAAAAGCTAAATAGATAATAAAAATAATATGTATCGTTGTATGGCCGTAATATGAATCCGATGTAACGACCTTGCTTAACGACCTCTTTCCTTGGCCCAATAGGCGGAAGAAATTTGGATTTGATCAGGATCTTAGTTAGAGTCGAAGACGATGAATATTTTAATTAAGGCAATAAAATAGACTACAAATGAGTGCTTATTTGGTTTTATTACTGCGTTTTAATGCGTTTCAATTAATAGATGACGTTAAACAAATGTATCTTATAATTACTTGTTTTATGCAATAGGAAACGACGTAAGAATATTCTTTTACTTCTATGAGAAGATTATAATGAAAATAAATTCTAGTTTGTTAAAATCACTTTCCAAGAGAATTTTGTTATTACTATGTTCCAATAGTATTTTGTTTCAAAATCTCAATTCAATTAAATAAATTTTACCCGATAAAAAGTGTTACTCACAAGATGTATCATTTAGAAAACTTTTCTTTGGCAAATGTCTAGTTTTAATTTACCGTGTAACGAATTAAGTGTAAGTTCTATAGACACATTTTTAAATCGTATAATTGAGTTTGGCTCTTGTTACTAAGAGCGCTTCTGTTAATTTCCTGCCCGTGCAAATATCTAACCTGTTTTAGTAAAGTGCTCTTGGGTTTCCGAGCCGAGCAGACGCCAAATCTTCTCGCAAGGGAAGTGTGCTTGAATTAAGCCACTTGTTACAAAATGAGCCTTTGGACTATATATACGTTTTATTGGATAAATCGCATTTGATAATTGGGGTATAATTAAAGAATATTAAATTTGGGACGACAAAGGAATGATAAATAAATTAAAATTCAAGAGGAAAGCTAGACGAAACCAAAAATATTAGAATTTCATAGCAACTTTAATGAAT